GTGACCTGGCCGGTTGTAACTGTAAACACTACAACCATACAATGGAATACACAGTACATGCAGGTGCAAAGGAGGAGCATGCAGTCTATATACAGGTCTCGATATCCATAAAGGTGAAGGGTACCTTGCAGTCGTCGACTACCACGGAATTGTGCGCTGCGTAAATGCATTGGTTGGAATTGTTCTCTCTGTGGTTTTTCATGTCGTCGTAAATGGACTGAGTCTTGGTCATTTCGATTTCATGCTGTGCGTGCTGCTTATCCAGTTCATCCAGCTCTTTCTTGGATAGATGGTAAACTATGCCGGCGCCGAAAGAGTCGCCGACGACATTGACAGAAGTCCTCATTCGGTCTCTGAGGGACAGTGGACAAGAAAGAGACATTAGGGAGAGAAGAGGTTGAAGGTGGTCTAATGCAGGGGTAGCCAAAGTTCGTCCCTCCAGCTTTGGTGAAACTACAAATCCCTTCATGCTTTAGCCACTGGAAGTCATACCTGTGGCTGTCAGAGGCTTGCAAAGCCTCATGGGACTTGTAGTTTCACAACAGCGGGAGGACTGAGGTTACCTATCCCTGCTCTAATAGATATGACTTAAAGTTGACCTTTCAGTAGATTTACAAGTTTTGTTTAAGCAGAAGTGGAGTATTAAAAAGCTTATATCTTTAAAGGAGAACTATTGGGTCAGGGCTTTTCCCCATAGTTCTCCTAAGGGTAACAGGAGGACACAAACTATCGTCCTCCCATCACCTAAAGCTCAGTATATACTGAGACGCCGCAGCCGGGATGGATCCCGACATTACTGTCTGGATCCACCCAGCTGCGTGAGTGACAGCTGGCTCTGCCTGTCTAGAGGCAGAGCCAGCTGTACCGGCCCCCTCCCCCGTTCGTTCCTCCAGTCAGCGCCCGAGGATCAGACAGGGGAGGGGGGAATCCCTGTAGGGAGCCGTGAGTGACAGTCACAGCTCTCTGCAGGAACATGATCGAGAAGTGAGCGAGCGACGGTATGTGTTCGCTCACTTCCCGATCTATTGAGCCGACATGTGAGCGTTTCATCGTCACAGGTCGGCTAGAACTATGAGGCTGAGTGATTTTCACTCGCCTCATAGTTCTCCTTTAATAACTTCATGAATAAATAAAGGGTATCTAGAGTCAAAAACTAAAAATCAATATGTGTTTCTATATTGAATTTCCATCGAGGTTCCATCCATTTCCAAGTTCTACCCCACTCCTAATAACCAGATCCATCTAGAAGTTTTTTAAGATGCCCATAGGATGGACTTCCTCACTGCACTGACACAATTTGCACTTCCTGCTGTCACCACTCTCACAGAGCCTGCCTTCTGAACTATAACTCAATGTCTGAACAATGTAACATCATCATTGCTTGCTGGAAGCAATGCATGATGGGGTATGCAGTCTTGAGAAATGGAAATTGCATCACATCAAGCAGCAGGGATGAGATGCAAAGCACACTGGGAACCCATGGAGTTGTTGAAAGTGATGGGCAGACGGAAGGCAGCGCTCACTACAAAAAAAAAAATCATTTACATGCAGGCCAAGCTGTCCAGCAAAAGTGACAGTGACGAGGGTGGGACAATCCATAAGACACATGGCTTTACATGAAATGATCGTTGGTTTGGGGTTCTATGCTGTGTCTGTTATTTATCGAGTAGTTTGTGCCTTGGAATAAAAGATCATCCTAATTGCAAGGTGGCGTGGATCAAAGATTTCTAGTCTGGTTTATTTTCACTTATTTTGTTTTCTTGGAAAATAAGCTCTCACTTGTCTTCGTAGGATATAAGAACAATATTTATTGATTCAATTACAGCCAAATTATGGCTTGTGGGCCTGGTATGGCCACTGATTGCGGTCATCTGGCACCTGGCTGCAATAAGAAGAATCCTTCATGGAGGGATTCTTCATTGCAACTTAAAAGGAAGCTGTTCTGCAGAGTGGTAGTGGAACCTGGAACAGCAATCTATCGCAGAGACTATCGGGTGGAATCATCTGTATGTGCCTACAGAGGGGTAAGTGCCACTTATACCTATGCTGGCGATGGGAGTGGGGGTGGGGCGCCGACTTTCAGAATTCCATTGACCCCAATGATGGGACACCATTCCCACCTAGCCGGAGCATTTAGTCCTCTTTTAATTTTTACCCCCCACCGACACCGGGACATCTATTCCTCCCACTAATACAGGGGCATTTATTACTCCAACTGACACAGGGCATTTATTACTCCCACTGACACAGGTCATTTATTACACTTGTTGATCACTTACAGGGGTGTGTATTACTTCCAATGACACAAAAGCATTTATTCCTCCCATGGACTATTGAGGATTTATTCCTCCAACTGACTATGGGGCACATATTACTTCAACTGACACAGAGGCATGTATTACTTCCATTGACACAGGATCGTTTATTATTCCCTCTGACTATGGGGTATTTATTCCTCCCATTGACTATGGAGACCTTCATGGATTCTTGCATCGGGGCCCTGAGGTCACTAGTTACGCCTCTGAATATCAGTGTATGTTGACATGTCGTATAACAGTTTCTGATGATGTCTATATGATCAGGACTTTCATACTTACAATAGCCAGTCTACAGCGACAAGCAGGCTGATGTCCTGGGTGGGCAATCCTACAGCCGTCAGGATGAGAAGCATGGTTACCAGACCCGCACTGGGAATACTGGCAGCCCCAACACTGGCCAACGTCGCTGTCAAGCTTGGAAACAAATAACGCAAGTAAGAGTGAAGCAAACAGAGTTCCTCAAGATTTTAAGTTGTAGATTTTTCAGGCCTGGACTGTACCTACGGCTATACTAGCGCTTGTCAGAGGATGTAAAAGAGGCAAGACACCAGAAAGAACCTATCTCTAGCTTTAGAAAAGGCACCAATCAAATTATTGGTCTGACTATTTAATGGGTTTGGTTGCCAGCTTTGTGAAGCCTAGAGTTAAAATCTTAACATCTATAACAATTTCCTTATTTTCAGAAAACTAGACCACACAGGGACTCGTGTGCACACACATACACATGCACAATCACATACAGACACACAAAGGTTGAACTTGATGGACCTGTGTCTTTATTCTACCTCAAATACTATGTAACTATGTAGCTATGACCAAAGCATGTGTGTTCTTCCCTGTAACTTGTTCCTTACCTCACTGTCACTATCTGTCCACCATCCAGCACAATTCCATTCATCTGAGCAATAAAGATGGCCGCCACCGCCTCATACAGAGCTGTACCATCCATGTTGATTGTGGCCCCAACAGGAAGCACGAATCGCGTCACTCTTTTGTCAATGCCCAGGTTCTCCTCGAGACAGCGGAAAGTGACTGGCAGGGTCCCGGCGCTGTAGTAGGACAACAGTAGGTGGTAATAAAACTTTGTAATGACAAAATCAATGGGAAAATTATTTAAGAGGTTCTTGTACTTTGCTGCTATATTAAACCGACTCTATGCATATGCGATCCCTAAGGTTATCGGTGGTACTTGTGTGTTTAGTCACCTAGTGGGTGACTAGGAGCTGGGCATCACTTGAAGCGGGGGTGCCGCTCCGTGGGTCAGAGAAAGTTCACCCACCCACGGGGACAGCTGACTTTTTTTCTCTCTCCACTCCGCCAAAGCATCCCCAGTTGCTAAAAGCTGGGTGGGAAGATGTGTAAGGGCCATACACATCTCCCCAACCTGGCCAGAGCATCCCAGGTTGCTAAGAGCCGGGTGGGGAGATGTGTATGGACCTTACACATCTCCCAGCCCAGCTATTAGCAACTGGGGGCACTCTGGCCTGTGTGCCGCCCAACTCCCGGCAACCAGTGACATCACTGGTTGCAAGGAGCTGGTTGCGACACCAGGGGCGCAATTTGTTGTAGATACGCCACTGTAGTCACCTAAGCACCTAACAGCTAGATGATGCTGGACATCCTCCAGCCAGGAAATCAAGCGGGCTCTATCTGACTTGCTGCAGCTTCTAATGCACATTGTGAGAAGCTCACAGTGGGCAGGAGCCAGTACAACTGTGCAAGACTGAAGGAAAGGCCAGAGTTCAGCTTTAATATGGCCCAGAACTCAAAGAGACCTGGCCAAATTAACAGAGCAGTGTAAAGCCATTTTGTAGGACCAATATTTTAGCAGCCTTATTGCTCAATAAAAATATACAAATAAAAACTTAAAATAGGCTGAAAGAACCCGTAAAGAGCATTGTATCCTTTTGGATCCCCCTCATCATCTCTCCACACATTCACATCAAACAGCTGAGCGTATGGTGGCCATCCTTGGAAAGTGCCACCTAGCAGATCCGTTGTAGTGATATATGGAACAGCCTAACCACCATCCAGTGGATGAAAAGCAGATGCGCTATCGCCTTTTTAATCTCCGTCTTCATGTAAAACATGAAATGTACACGCGAGGAAGCCGGTGTGGGCTGCAGCCACACAAATAGATATCTCTGAACAGGAAACTCTTCTAAACTTCACAGGAAGAATGTTCACAGACCTCTCGGAATTGAAACCAGCCTGCACACAAATGCATTTTTTTGTAGCCGGTTGGAAAGATTACCTGCGAGCGCCAACCGTGAAATTAAATTTGCTAAAGCAAGGGAAGGCAGCAGAGGCGAGAGATATTCAGTGCGGCAGAAGGAATGTTTTGTGCTGTTATTGCCAAATAAAATAAACACCAGTTAACTTCCAGCTACTGGTAGGCTGAGGCCTTCGTACCCTCCAGCTGTAAAGTATCAGTTAGGGGTTGTCTCCTATTGCTAAACTAAGAAGCTTCCAAACTTCCCAACGCGCAGTGAGGAGGGAGAGGTGACCTTGTGATACCATTAACTCATGTTGAGTTCTCTGTAGGGGAAGCAGGTGCCTTGTTCCCTTTGTTTCTTTTGTCTTATACACGCAAAGGCTGGATTAGTACAAAAATATCCCAATAAAGCCGAGCATTATATTTAAAAATACAATTACAGTAGAAATATAAAATAACAAAACCAGCTTTTGCTGCAATATTCAGTTTCAATCTAGAAATTTCCCCAGCAGTAATTTTTTTGGGCAGCATATTCAACTGACCTCCTCTGAGCCCTGGTTGTCCTGGACCTGCCCCCAGCCTGTGACTGGACAGTGAAAGAAGAAGCAGCAGACTGATGAGCTTATCTTTCTATAACTTTGTTCTCTCTTCCTATCAGCAGGCTTCTTGTCAGCACATGAACTGATTGATAAGACAGACACGGAGAGACTAAGCGGAGGGGCTACATGACTGGGGGAAGGAATAGTCCCGGGAGAAAGGGTTAAAAAAATAAAATGGGAATAGCTGCTCTTACCTGATTGGACGTGTGAGTCAGGTGTCCGGGAGGAGCCGCATGGGAAGGGACTGCGAGGGCTGAGGGACGTCCTCTTTCTGGAAATCGACGAAGGAAGCAGGTTGTCCCACCCTCCCTCCCTGAATTTGGTGGTTATGGGGGGTTTCTTTTGTCACGGCAGCTTGTCGGGTTAGGGGGTCTTTGGGGGGTCTACAAAATCGGAGTTCATTACAAAAAGTGGGGGGCCCTCAGCTGGTATGGGTGCTTCCCCCTGTTGGTGTCCGGATTTGTAGGAGGGGGGGGCCTGGCCCCTTGGGAACCCAGAAGGAGTAAGTGTCCTCGAGCTGGTTGTGGTGCGGCTGGGGACATGGGTGGAGTGTTATGAGAGGCCTTTTTTGGGCTGGCGGGCACCCAAAGACCCCTTCTCAGGTCAACCCTTGTTAAAGTATTATTTTTGTATATTTGGTTTATTACTTTGGTTATTGTTAAAGTTGACTGTTTAATAAAAGGGCTGCTGTGGCCGTTAAAATCCATGTCGCGCAGTCCGTGTGTTTATTGGGGTTTTTAACAGAGGGACAGAAAATTGACGAATCCATCAGTCATGTGCTGCTTCTTCCTCTTGGTGGGGACAGATGTTTCCATGGGAATTCTGTTCACTTTAGAGAGATTTGCTTTCATCTACTGTTGCATCCCCAGGTCAGGAAGTGTAAGGAAATCTCCCCAGCAGATCCCAGATAGAAAAAAATATCCGATTGAGGTTTTTAACCCATCTCTACTCTATAGGCTCCGTTCACACCTAGGCGTTTTGTCCTTCAAAGCTAAGCGCGGCAAAACACTCAAGACAACAAATCCTATGAATTTCCATGGTCCCTGGTCACACTTGAGCATTTTGTCGCATGTTTTGTCGCACAAGTTTCCACTTGAAGTCTATGTGACCAAAAAGTTCTGTAATCTGACAAAAAGTAGCTTATGTACTTGTTCCAGCGACAGACTTTTTCTGCTTGCAAACGAAACGCTCAGGTGTAAACAGGGGCCATAGAAATTCATGGGATTCCTTGTCTTGAGCGTTTTGTAGCGCTTACTTTACGCACTAAATCCCGCACTTTAATTGAATACAGGTGTTCTGTAAGCTATTTAAACTTTATAGAGGTATTAACATTCATCAATATACAGTGCAAAACATTTTTACATTTAGAAAATTAGTATCTATATAGATGCTGCTAGAATGTCTTGCCTAACAAACATGATGTCACAAAGATAGAAAGATCGTACCTGGAAGCTGTACCGAGGGCGGTGATCCAAGCCTGGAATATACCAGCCAGGAAGGAGAACGGGCTTTTCCTGGTGATGGCGAAGTACAGTGCCGGCAAGAAGATGGCTCCATGGATGATCAGACCAATGATGACTGTAACCATGTACATTCCCAGCTGCCTGGCGACCTGTTCCAAGTCTTTTATGGCGACGATTTTCCCACAGATTAGACAGGCGATACCGAGAGGAGAGTACCTAGAGGCAAAACACATTGGGCTCATTAAAGCAAAAAATAGCACTGACAGCCACCTCCATGTTTCAGAGCTCACAGGGTTCCTTTGTCAGGCAAAGCTTGACACTTTGGCTGACAAAGGAACCGTGCATGGTTTCAAACGTTGCAATCTTATGCTGCAAACCCGTCAATACAGACGAGATTCGAATCGGTGTGCGGACAACATATCTATTTGTACACTGTGGCGCCTTCCTCCAGTTGCTCCAGCACCCAATTAAAAGGGGTACATCAGTTTGGCGTGCGAATGAGATACAACCATAGCTACCAGGTTACAAGGAAGATACATCTTACACAGGGTTATTCACAAAAGGGTGAAGAGTTTGGAGAAGACCGGAGAAGTGAACAGTCTAGGTCAATGGTGGCGAACCTTGGCACTCCAGCTGTGCCAAAACTACAAATCCCAAGATGCATCTGCCTCTGAGAGTTATGTCTGTGGCTGTCAGAGCCTTGCAATGCCTCATGGGACTTGTAGTTCCAAAACAGCTGGAGTGCCAAGGTTCGCCATCACTGGTCTAGGCCAAAATAGTTGATTTGGAAAAGTTCTCCAATTCAGCTAATTTTCCAGGTCACCTATGTTATCCTAGATTGTTCACTTCTCCGGCCTTCTCCAAACTCTTCACCCTTTTGTGAATAGCCCTGACAACAGTCTTAGATTGGTTCACACTATGACACACTGCGCAACAAAGCACACATGTTTATGCTTTTGGGTGTGTAGCATTAGGCAGCCCATTGTAAATGAATGAGCTATATTGCATCTCAACTTGCAAAAAGTTAGTGCATGCTGCATTTTTTTTTGCAGTGTACAACAATGCACATCTTGCATTATGGTGCACTGCAGTGTGTAGGGGTGCTATGCAAAATGAATGGCACCCACACGTGCATGGTGCATTTATCACACATTACCACAATGTGCTGGTATAAGCAAGCCCTTAGTATATCATAACAACTGTACATTGAAATGGCAATTAAATTTTAATGAATTAGGTCTTGTTTTTGCTACCACACACTGTGCCGCAATGCACTTGTTTTCATGCATTCAGGCACCTTGAGGCACACTGCGGTGGAAAACATTGGGCAGTCTAATGAAAATGAAAATTTGGGTCATGCTGAATTTTTGGCAGTGCACATTTTTTAGTCCCAGACCAGAATAAGTATGTAATAAGTGAAGACAGGACTCATGATATTTGTTCATGGACTGAAAGTACTAAAACCAGTAGAGAGTAATATCTTCCAGGCTTTACAGAAAGAGATCGAAACCCATATACAGTAGATTTCTTCCATTTTAGGGTTCCTTTAAAAGCTGTAGTATATAACGTGGCCTAATTAAAACAGCCGTCCCAGGGCTTCAAAAGCTGAAGACACCCAAAAAAGGGAGAAAGACCAATGACCAAAGTAGATAAGTGGAGCTATGAATATCCTGGGATGGAGCTGGGAGTCCCAGGATATTCATGACAGAGACCAGGAAATGCTTGTAGTTTCAACATACCAACATCTACCAAAAGCTGAAATATCAGATTATGACCTTTTAAAATTATTTTGGCAAGTTTGTTTTTAGCATCTACAAATCAGGCCAACCCTAAAGATCTTTGTTACCTGATGAAATCCACAAAGTCTGAACGCCAAAACAATTTATAATGAGGAACCAGATGTGGGAAGGCAGAATGTAGCAATTTGTGAAACTGGGAACGCATTGTTCTCTCTAAACTGTTCTGCAAATGGTTCTTTTCTTAAGGAGAGATCAATAGCTGTGACAGTTCCCGAGCTCATTTCCTCTGAGAACATGGAGCCTGTCCACCTGTATCCAGTCCAGGATTTCCCAGGAGACCTCATTGTCTCTCGGATACTGAGTCTGCTGCTTTCACAAGAATTGACAAAGGACCTGTGATAAACGGTGAGGAAATGTTGTCCCTTGAGGTGGCTTTTAACCTCAGGCAGGATGGTAATTGTTCAACCTGCAACTAAGTCCAACAGAGAAGTGTGTTGCCAATTGCATTGCATTCAACTACAAGATTTTGGCAACGTGTGAATCTGAACCTGAGGAAGAATGAAGCTGAGCATACAATGAGATTGATTTATGGGAAGTGAAAGAAAAAAAAGGCATTCAATGACACAAAGCCAGGGCAGAGGGGCTTCATTAATGAGATGTGAAGGATCAGGCCTGAAGGTGTTAAGAAAGAGATTAGATGGGGTGAAATGTGAAGGGGTCTTACCTTAATGGCTGTCAGGGGCCAAGTATAACATGAGGTCATGTGGATAACTTGCTGAGCATAATTGGAAGGCAGGCAGGAGCATGTGGCCATAGGAACATGTTGTCCCATTTGCCCACCCACTTTATTTGGCAGAAGGAGCAATGTGTCACAGGAGTTTGGCTGGTAAGTGGTTTTTGTAGAAGATGTACAGGCTAAGCCAGTTATGAAAAAAGTGGGCCATTGGTTGGTATGGGTATTTCACTAGGCTCGCAAAGTATTTTTAAAAAGTGAACCTGCACTATGTTCATTCAGCAACAAGTTTGCTTTAACCCCTTGTTGGGATTTTACTTTGAGGAGGTCTGGGGACTGGAACTGGCTCACAGCACTCCTCCAACCATTGTCCCTATGCCCCTGATGTATGCTTTACTATGCTAACCATAATGTATTTTGCTTTAATTTCAGAGCTGAAGAAAGACTCATGCATCAACTTACCACATTATCATAGTCACAAGTTTCATGACAATCTCATTGAGGATGTTGAAGAAATCAACCATCAGCCGTGCCTGTTCCCCCATCTTTCCCATTGCAATGCCAAACGCTATGAAGAAACCAATCACACCTGCAGGCAGATAACACTTTGGGTCAGTCATTGGTCTGCAATAAAATATGGCAGTTTCCTCTTTCTGGAAACCCTGATTTAAATCTCCTGGGAGAAACTGATAGCATAAAAAAATATCAATTCAATTAAAGATTTATTTTGTGTCAGGAGCCTGGTGATCAGGGAGGACTATGATGTGTGGTAGGGAAGCATCTGCCCCTTGGGCAAATACTAAAAACATCTGTTCGGTTGGTGGCCCTGAGTGAACATATTTTACCATTCAGACATTACTCAGAGAGGAACCCCCAGTCATTGGCACATGCACAATATGGTAGATGGTCATTATATAGCTACCTCCGCTCCTCCTCATTTAGACCTGCGATCACAGAATCTGGGAGAGGGAAGTCTTCCAACCTCAACTTTTTTTGCACCCTTGAGATGTCATGTGACTAAATGCCGATACCTGCAAAGGAATCTGATGCAAGAAGATGTCTCTTAAGGTGTCCCACAGTAAACCATGTCCTTTAGGCCCCAGCACCATGTCTAATTCTTCCCAGCTGGTGATGGTCATTATTTCTGAGAGGCTCCTGTCACTCAGGGCTACTGTGAATACTGCAGCTGCCCAGTAATTTACTAAGAAAGTATCCTGTGGAGTAAAGCATGCCTAAAATGTAACCCCCCCCCAACACACATCTGAACACTTCATACTTAACCTAAATCCTAGGGGGGCTTAAAGCTGAACTCCAGGCAGACACAGAAGACACACATTATTGCAGCTCTATCCATGAATACATCCTTGAATTTATTTTTTTACATGCAAGGAAATTAGCTTATGCCAAACGGTATCATTACTCAGGTGTGCCTAGAGCAGCATGATGTCTAAATGGAGCCCTGTGTGAATTATATAAATGACTACAACTTAAAGGAGAACTATGAGATGATTTCCACTCACCTCACAGTTCTAAGCCGACCTGTGACAATGAGACTGTCACAGGTCGGCTCAGTAGATCGGGAGGTGAGGGAACACATACCGGGTTCCCTCACCTCTCGATCCTGTCACGGCTCTCTGCCGTGACAGG